TTCTCTTTGTGGAAGTCAGTCCTGTATGACAAACAATATAATCCAAGTTTCTTATTTTTCTAAATCTCAGGAGTTGGCATGGCAAAGATTCACAATATATGTGTTAACAATTTTTAAGTGGTCCAAAAATATGAAATTAATTAAACATCTTTGGAATCAGTAAGCTATATTTCTTCTTCCTCTGGTTCCCATCAACTATATCCAATTTTTAACAAACAAATGCAATTTTTATTTGCTCAGTATATGCTGTTAGCAAAATGATATTAAAGTTGCACTTCAAGGCCTTAAAAATTTTAAGAAAAATTTCCAAGCCAGCTTTAAGATTTAAGATTATAATGTCATATTACATAATTAATTGACTGCTTTCTTTTTAGGACCACATTGTGATCTAAAAACCACTTAGTGTTTTCTAATGGTTGAAATTTAGGTTGTGTGCAATGAGATAATTTTAATTTAGTTGTGCCTCACTGACTTTTTCCTAATGTGCTGTCCAACATTCTGGACTAGATTTGTTGAACCATGTAAATTTTCCCACTCTATGACTCTTTTGATTATGAATTTCTCTGAATATACACACCTAATGCACCACACTTAAATTTCCACTGTCTCTCTTGTCATTACAACCAAGTTATATGTCACATTTGACAAAAAAGGAAAGAGAGAATCCCCATTCCTCAAAACAATGACAACCACCAAACAAACATGTTTCATTTTACTGATTGTATTTGACTGATAAGATCATTAATGATCACTATGCTAGACAAAGAGTCTGAAGTCAAAAGAATAACGATGTTTATAATGAAAAAGAATAAAGTAAAGAAAGGAATTATGGAGAAAAAAAGCTTCCTCAAAATAGTCATTTGTTCATTCCTTAAACATGTATTGAGTGGTTTCTATGTATCAGTTACTGAGAATACAAAGTGAGTAAGACACAAGACATGCCATTAGGGGCTCCCAGAATAGTGGTTGAGCTGTGTAATCAAAGAAAGAACAGTAAGGTGACTTAAGACATCAATCTTGAAGGGAAAATAGGGTTTTCCCACAAAGGAGAGGAGTAATAGACATTCCAAGAAAAAAAAAATTGGTAGGTGGACTAGCACAGAGTAGGATAGTATATGGCATATCCCAGAGGCAACAGGTGTGTGAATTGTGATTAACGTGTTGATGATAACCAGTGAAACAGTGGTAACAATGTTTGAGAAATGGGTTGAAGCTTTATGATGGACTGATGGACCTTGTAGCATATACTAAGGATACTAACCTTTATTTCTGAAGAGTATAATAAGCCACCAAAGATTTTTAAGTAGGGTGGCAATCAATTGATGTCTATAATTTTTAGAAGATAAGCGTGTTGGTCCCAGCATGGAAGGCATTTGTGGGGGTTAGAAGGAAGGGTGTGGATGGGACCTACAGACAGGAGAACAACTGGGAGACCACATAATACCTGTGAGATGATGAAGACCTGAAGTTGAGCAATGGGAAAGGGAATGGAAGGGAAGGGATTTATTTAAGATATTCTAAAAAAAAAAGTGGTGATACTGGATATCGGCCAAGAGAAAGTAGAAAGAATCAAAGTCAACAGCTGAAAGCGATGGATGGTAGTGGGGTGGATTAGAGATTAAAGAGATTAATTACCAAGGAGAGGGACCAGCTAGGGCCAGATAAAAGAACTGTTAAGTACTGCTGACAGCTCACATAAAGTCAGAAAACATGAATCTTTAAAGCAACACGCATAAGCAGTTTTCTCCAGAAAGTCTAAATAAATAAGGTCACAATTACAAAATCAAAATAACTACCTGAAATCATTAATGATATCAGCAGACTATCTGATATCTTCTCTAGAATGAAAAGTGTAAAAAAAAATACTATAAATGCAATAGACTGAATTTCCATTTCTGGTAACAGCAATGAGATAATTTGGACTGACATACCCAGTGAGGTAAGTAAAGATATTTGAAATATAAAAACAGCAAAGGGCTAACAAGATGGTGAGGATTTAGCACATGATGATTTAGGAGAAGATCAGGAGTCAGAGAGTCATTTTTCAAAGCTTTTACCCTTGGGCATGTGATTATGAGGAAAAAAAGATGTGAGAAACCAGGCAGCCTTATGTGCTTCAAGGAAAAGTCACAGTCCTTGGCCCTCAGGTGGAGGCTTTAATTAACTAACCCAACTTTAATTTGGGATCCTGACAGGCCACACCTTCCTTGAGGGTAGGAGTGAACCTACTGTTCCTCACACAGATTTGCAGCCTTGCCTCTTGTCACAGAGGTGATTCCGGGAACCTTAGGTGTTGTACTTTGTCTAAGGTGATTCTGGTCTGATATCATCCCTAGGTGCCTGGCAGAAGCAAACCAAAGTCTTCTCTGGAAGAAAACATTATCATCATTTAAGTCTCAACACAAATTGTAATGTAATTTTAAAAAATATATATGTCCAGCATATAGTCAAAGATATCCAAGCAACCAAGAAAATAAGACACCGTGAGTGAGAACTGGCAGGCACAGTAATAATAGAAACACATCCAGGAGCCCTTGAGATGTTATAATTATTAGAACTATATCATGAAACAACACTTACTATGTTCAGAGAAATAAAAGCCAAGGTTGACAATTTCCCCAAAGAACTAGAAACTATAAAAATGACATAATACCAACAGAGAAATATTTGCCTCTTTTCCTGTCAACACTATTTGGCCACATAGTTTAAAATTTTTACATTTTAAAAATTTAATTTTGTGGGTTTTTTGTCTGTTTTCCTTTTGACACACTGAAAAGAAAAAAAAAAATCCCACAATGATAAGCCTAATACAGTTTTGGTTTATGTTTATAGTTTGATCAGAAATGTATCAAAGTCAATGGAATGCCTACACGTTTGTGTGCGTACCTGTGTGTGGTGAGCTCCCAGGTGTATGCATTCACAAATTTCTAAAAGCACCTGTGATTTCTGCCAGGTGCATTCCTATTGTTGACCCTTCAGGACACAGCTGGGTAGCACAATGTCACCAGACGTCGGACGTGACCAGGGGAAAATTTACAAAGGTACCATCCACGCAAAGGGACATGAGAATTAGCTGCAGATTTTACAATCTAAGGATTAATTATAATTATTACCAAAGGTTAACTATGATTTAACAGACTGCCAAGCTGTTTGAAGACTATATATTGAAAAGCAAATATTTCTGATGTACTTAGCAAATACTTCCTGATGTACTTTGACTTTAAAACCCTCTAGAATCAGATTCTTCCTTGAGACTAGGTCTTGACTGCCAAGCAAAGGAGAGCTGGGAGCAGTGACATTCATCAGGGGTCTCCAGGGAGGAGGAGGATTGAGGGGGGAGGGAAAGTGGGCAGGGAAAGGAAGGAGGGAACATTCAAACTAAGCTCTGCCAGCTTCACATTTTGTTCGGCTTGGCTAGATTATTTAGTAGTTGTAAAATCAAGGAACCCTATCAATAAAATACCCATTTTCCATTTTAGAAGAGTAACACAGTACATTACTTAATTCTTATCAAAGTTGAATAAAAGATTCAAGCCCTTCCTTGTTTATACCTAGTTTAGCCAACTTAGTACAATAGAATCTGTCTATTTGACAGAACAAAAACTGGCCAGTTACATTTAACAACTGTTCAGCCCCACACTCTGTAATAAGAGTCAGCAGATTTATTTTCCCCATATAAAGTAGAATTTCCAATTCACACCATGTACTCTGTGACTATTATGGACAGTATTTATTCAGAAGGAATGCTGTGCAAGTTTGGAAAAGCTGTCTCTAAGAGCAGAGGGAGAGGTTATTAGACAAAACAAGAAACAAAATCTATACAAGGGCAAAACTTGAGAACTAAAGTTTGTCATTCTTCCTTTTCAAGGAAAAGAGTTTTTAAGTCCTTAAAACAGTGTGGCAATAGCAAATTAGACAACCCTTTTCCCTCCTCTTTTCTCAAGCTCTGTATAATCACAACGCCTCCATTCACTTAGCAAATATCAGCTTTTTAGGAGGACAAGAACCTGCTTGGAATTAATGAGGTGACACCAAAAAATAACTTCTATTAATAAATTGTTCTCTCCTATAGAAATGGTCTGTTTTTTCTCAGTTGCTTTTTAAAAAGTAGAATACCTTCGAAAGGCTCCTGATGTACTTTAAGATCACCTTAGACCAGCTTTCCCCTCCTCCACCTTTTTTCCTTTTTTTATTTTACTTTTTTTTAAATTAGGAAGTGACTTAGTGCCATGCAAGAGAACCTGAACTCGGTCACACAATAATACAGTTTTATCCCATGGCATAACAGAAACAGTAACATTCAGTCTGTTGTGACATAGAACTACTGATATTGTCACTCAGTAAACTCTGGGCACTTAAGGAAACAACGAATAGAGGAAAAAGCAAGACAGGATAAAGGCAAAACTGAAGTTACAGGTCTGCAAAGTGAATTTCAAACATAAGCTAAAATATTCTATTTCTTTCTGCTGCACAAAATATAAAATGCCACTATCTCAAGAAAGGTAAGCAGGCTACAACACTGAAATATCTTCATTATCACCTTTTCATTCACACAAACAAAAAAGGAAAATTTGACATTAACCTTCCCAGAAAAGCGATGCACCCTAAAATCAATCCTTTCACTTACCCTAGAATATGCACATCATGATCTCTTAAATCCTTTTAATTCCAGTACATCCAGAACATATATGAATTCTTAGCATGTCCACTTAAAGAGCAAACTTGAAGCAAATCAGTAGTTACAACGGATCCATAACAGAACTCCCTGAAATTCTAGGGAGAGATTATGTGTTTAAAATCCAGCTTCTAGATCCTGGTGTATACTGTGTCTATCTTTAACTTGAAAATGATTTGGTTTCACATTCCATTGAAGTCCCACTGGCAGATGCCTTTGGTAAGCTCACCAATGGCAGGCTCTCACGCGCCCTCCCTCCACCCCCTCCTTGGGACTGAACTTCCGCTGCTACATCTAACGCTGATTTACTCAGCTGTCTCTTTACCTGTCTCTGTATGGGTAAAAGGAGATGTTTTCATTGATGGCTATTACAGAGACACTTGGAAGCTGAACATCAGCCTGTGGCCTCACTGCACTTCCCCTGCCCTGCCCTCCCCTCCCCCTGCTCACTGCCAGAAACCAACTGACTTCCAAACTTGGCTGCCTGAAAAAGAATGTTCTCTGATTGGCATTCCTGGAAGCAGAAAGCAAGGCAGCTCAAGTTCTGTACTGTTACTCAGCATGAATAACTTCCCAGGTACACATAATACAAACAAGTAACGTTCCTGGATTTTTTTTTCTCTTAACTTTGATCAGAATCGAGCAAATATTTTGAGGCTTTCAAATAGTTTTATATTAGGACAGCATTTATGTTTTAATAGCCACATATAATTTTACCCAGAATGGCTATGGCTTTAGTAATAAACTGAAATGGCAAATTCTGTGTTAGAAGTTGAATGATCCTTAGTAAATGAGCTGGGACCCATTAGAGGAAGAAATAGCTACTGCTTGACAGTATCTGTTGAATCTGTGGATTTTCTGTGAGAGAAAAAATTGCTTGTAGGAATTGTGGGAAAACGTATTTCAATTGACCTATATTTTATACTCCAAACAGTAGGAGAGTAAAAAAAACACTTCTAACTTCTACCACTCTATTGAACCTTCTTTTTCAGGACTGTCTTGCAAAATTTTAGTGAGAACTGGGAAAGAAAATGTGTGTGTGTGTGTGTGTGTGTGTATGTGTCTGAACAAAGAGAAACTGAATGAATGGAAACTAGGGAAAAAGACACATTTCATTAAATAGAGCCTCACAAAGATTAATAATGGGGGTCCCTTTAAGTCACCCCTAATTTACTTATATTTAGCATTTATTTGGTGGTTACTGGGGACAAAAAGTCTCCCGCTTCTGAAAAGTAATTTACCTATGTTCAAAACATGCAATTCTATGGACCAGACAACATCTTCAAAGGCCTGATAAAAGATTTGTAATTTTGGTAAATGAACATATCTCAATCCCGAGCAGTTTGGGGTTTCCAAAGTCCGTCTGGCAGTGGCTGCCAACTCTGGGCAACTGTCAGCTGGCTGGGCTCAGGGTGGTGGTGTTGTTGCAGCTGCTCCTTGGAACTTACATGGACATCTCAAAAATATTCGACTATAGAAGTTTGACTCCAGAAAGAAAGTTTTGTTTACTGTTTATTTGAAATTAAGATGTTTTAGGTTTTTTTTTTATTTATTTACCACATCTAGAACAAGATCATAATAAGAAACCATGAATAAAAACTTGATTAACTGGCATCATATTGCTAATTTATTTTGGTGATATTTTGATGTCCCATATAGGCTGGTGGTATACTAGCTTTTAATCTAATAGCATTATTAGATGACCTAATCACATCTCAATGTCTTCTTAAAAAAGATTAAAAGAAGGGAAAAGGGGAGGAAACTTCCCTTACTCTTATCCCCAAAGTTTATTATCTTGGAGAACCTGTAGGCTATCTGCAATGCTGATAGATAAAGGCGTTCAAATGACTTCATAAATAAATGGAAAGAAGTAACCCCATAGCCTAGAGAGCACACATCTCAGTCCCGCTGTTTCTTTTTCTGTCTGTCAAAAACACTCCTCTACAAGGCTAATAGATGGTGTCAAAACATAAGTGAACTAAGAAGAGGGGAGGGAGTTGGTGGCAGGCTGCCTGGTTCACCATCAGCTACACTGCTCACATCTGTTGTGTATCTGAGTGAGTGCTAGCACGTAAATGACACTTGAGAAATGTTGGTTGAAACTGAGGAACTGCTTGTGTACAAGTGTGTATTTAACCTATGGAAAATGGTTATTTCTTGGCCCATATCTTAGCATTTACCTTGGGAAAAAATATAGCTCTCTTCAAGCAATTAACCAAAAGGCTATATGGAATGTATATTATGTACCAAGCACCTTTACTGAAACTAAAAAAATTATTATAAACCATGTGTGTGTGTGTATGTGCATGTGTGACTGACTCTCACTACTAACACCGCAAATATTTGTTAAGATCACTTCTGCTGATTTTGCTGACTTGTAAGAAAAAATAAAGAGAAAAGGAAATGTTAGGTTCTCTCATGTTTCCCCAGTAACTATAACAATTTTCTATATTGAATTGTTACTGGCCATTCCTTATAGTGCAACATCCATCAGTCAGATGTCTCCTTAGGTTGCCAACTTTATCTCCACTTATATTTTCATCTGCACCAATCTTACAAATTTCAGAACACTTCATAACAGGAACAGGAGCATTAGTCCAGACACAAGGTTAAGTGAGCAAGAAGTTTTTTTTTTTTTCTTCTTCTTTTTTCTCCCTAACCTTCACAAGGCAATTGATAAGATTTATAATGGCTAGACCTCAGTCTTTATCATGAGTAAATGTTGTTTTCTTCTTTCATAGCACTAACATGAGAGTTAGGATTTGATCAGAAAATAGCTTCCAGGGCTTGCTTCCAAAGAAAACTGGGCATATTACAGGCAAATCGGATACCCCTGATTTATCATGAACAAGCAGTTAATCTCTGCTCCATTCTCCAGAAATAGGCTGCATTAGCACAGTTCTGTGGATGGCAAATGCTGGTAGCAGTCTCCTTACAGGGCCGAACAAGGTGTTCAAACACAGTCTTAGCCAATCTGTGAGTCATCCATGTGTATGAAGAACCTGGTCACTGAAAAGCAAACAACCTTTGTCATTTTTGCCCCCTTCTGGTTGTCCTTAAGAGACTAGCACAGGTGGTATTTTCAGGGTGATAGTTTTGCAGCAGATTTTTGTTTTGGTCTTTAGTATATAGTTTATTTTTAAAAGCAAATACTACTTAGACAAAAATACATCTTTTGGGAGAATCGTGTTTTTGTTAAAACTGAAAAGATTAATAGATCTAAGTAGTAATTGTTTGAAAAGTAATTAAAAAATAGACACTACCCAAGAAAAAGTACAAAAACTATATATAAACAACATTAGAAAACAAGGGCATTAACAACATATATAGAAGAAATTCAAAACAGCAGCATGTGTAATCCTATTATGCCAATCAACTTAAAAATATACCCAGCAATCCCTCTGCTGGGTATATATCCAAAGGAAATGAAATCACCACTTCCCAAAGATATCTGCACTCCAATATCCACTGCAACATTATTGACAATAGCCGATATGTGGAAACAATTGAAGTGTTCATTGACAAAAGGATGAATAAGGAAATTGTGATACACACACATATAATGGAATATTGTTCAGCCTTACAAAAGAAGATCCTGCCATTTTTGACAACATGCATAAATCTAGAGGACATTATGCTAAGTGAAATAAGAAAGAAAAATACTGCATGATCTCATTTTTATTGTGGAATCTAAAAAAAAAAATCAAATACACAGAAATAGAGTAAAACAGTGGTTATCAGGATAAGAATGAGAAGATGTAGGTCAAAAGGTACAAAAGTCAAAATTATGTAGTATGAATAAGTCTGAAGATTAAGCGTACAGCACTTAATCTGTAATTAATTGGACTGTAATTAATATTGCATTGTATACTGGTAATTTGCCAAGACAGTAGATTTTAGGTACTCTTACCATACACACACACAAACACACACACATGAAGGGAACTATTTGAGATGATGCCATATTAATTTGTTTAACTGTAGTAATCATTTCACTGTGTATATCAAAATAAGTTTTAATATATCAAAACATCATGTTGTATATCTTAAATGCATACATTTAAGAATGGAAAGGAAAACCACAGCAGCATGCTATATGTAATACTATTAAATATAATCAACTTAAAATTGGATGAAATGAACACTCATTTTGTATGCCTATTGTATAGAAATAACCTTAATCATGGAAAGAGCCATATGTATAAATATACCAATTATAGTATATTTGTTTGGTAGAGAATAATAAGGAAAATTAACAATTTTGATGACAACAGAATGGCACAGGCTAATGATTAGGTTAAAAATCAGCATATAAGTGTATGCACACCATGATTTCAACTATATTAGAACATCTGTAGGCACCAGAGAGAAATATAAAGGCTAGAAGAAATCTTACCAAAATGATATGTGGGGTCTTTTTAAAAAATCTTATTCCATTTTTGTAGATTTTCTGTAATGAGATTATTTTACCCTGATTCACAAACACACATACATGCACCCTAAAAATATGCCTTTTCTCAATTCCTTACTCTCCTCCTTTTCCTTAAAGAGGCAACTCTATTTCGCTTCTCTGGGTCTCTGTTGCAGGAGAGTTTGGGGAGGGGAGCAGAGGGGAATGGAGAAGCTCTATAATGCAGAAAAAGACGTAGAAAAGGCTTAAGAAAGGGAGGGGATTCTTCCGATGATTCCTTCTCATCTGGTACTATTCAGCCATTAAAAAAATTGGTGATCTAGTATCTTTTGTAACAACCTGGATGAAACTGGAGACCATTTTTCTAAGTGAAGTATCTCAAGAATGGAAACAAACACCACATGTACTCAATACTACATTGGAACTAATTGATCAACACTTAGGTGCACATATGGAAGTAAAACTCAATGGAAATCAAACAGGTGGGAGGGGAGAGGAGAGGATGGGTAAATTCACACCAAACGGGTACAATGCACACTACCTGGGTGAAAGGCACACTTATAACTCTGACTCAAACTGTACAAAAGCAAATTATGTAACCAAAGCATGTGTACTCCCGTAATACTCTGATATTTTTTAAAAAGGTAATAAGTATGAAATAAATGTAAAAGTTAAGAAATGATTTACATTAAAATAAAATAAATGATTTACATTTAAAAAAAAAGAAAAAAGAAAGGGAGGGAAATATCCAAGAATAAGAACAATCTTAAAGGAAATGTGAGAACGAAAGAAGAGAGGATAGGAAACACAATCTGGCACAGTATAGGTGGGGGTCAGACTGTCAGCCAGATTGGGGAACAGCCACTTTGATGAGGTAGACTCAAATGTCCAATCAATATCTGAAATCCAAGTGAAGAACTGGTCCTAATCCAAGTG